TTATGATGGCTATTGGTACCATAAAAAATAACAGACTTCTGTACAAAATTTCGTGTAAATAGTTTTGTTTCTGATGCCATCGAGGGTTTAACCTCAAGTCCCGCAATAGTACATCAAATAAGAATTTTTGTGAACGAGAACGGGATTTTTGATTCTGAATATTGCGTTAATCCGTTGGGAGCTGGTGTCCAGTCCATCGGATCATAAGCCCTTTGGACGGGGTCAAACGTCCAAGGTGCCCAATACACCTTGATGCCCAATTGAGCCGGTGATCAATGTTACAACCAGGAAGATGTGTGTGTGGTTCGTACGCCTCTTGGTTAGTTTGGAATCAGGCTTTTAGTCAACTCCCCTAGATGAACTGCCGATGGTTCACCAACCCGGTTATCGCCCCGGATATTGGCTTTTCGTCCCCTCATTTTGGTGGGAAAAATACCTCCGCCACGAGAAGGCAGTGAGCAGGGCTTCCTTAGACGAGGCTATTTGAGACGCTTGGTCATAAACGAGCATTTCGCGAGGTGACCAGTCACAATCCGAAACACCCACCCCCACTATACTGAGGCAGTCTAAGCAAATCAGACACCTACCTTAGTGCGTCCACCAACCCCTAGTATCCTGTCATACATATACATTACCACAAAATAGGAAGCGCTGTATTAACCTGGTTACGAATATCCCTTCGTTCATACAGTAGGCTGCATCAAGCGATTTTAGTCGTTTTCCTATGAAAAAATTCAGTTTTTATCAGTTAGAAAGTACCATTTTCAAAATGACTCTTGTCACTGTTAGAGTAAACGAGGCTGTATTGTTTCGATATTGAACGGAACTAAGTGCTAGGAAAGACAAACAAGTTAGCATATAATGAATTAGTTGCATGAGTCAACTCAGAAAGCCCTGTATACAGGGGAAGATTAGTTTTCGGTAGTTGCCACAGTGACTCAGAGGTCGTGCCTTCGAATCGGAACATCGAAACCTTTCTCCCAGCTTCTATATGTCCCCAGGCAACCGCTGAATCAGCTCTCTCTCTCTCCCTCTGCGAAAATTTTCAGTATAACGGTCATCCAATAGATAGAACAAATGAAGAAATACTGATAGTAGTAGTTCCGTGAGAAGTATGGTCGAAGTGCGCAGTTTCTAACAGCGGTCGAAAATGAACAGGAACTCCAAGAGCAAATTAGTGTTCAAAATTGTAGGTGCACATCTACCGTCGCACTGTTTCATCAATTATCCCGCGTGCTTGTCCGAATTACGATGACCCGTACTAGATGACACAGTTCGTTTTAGATAATCCAATTTGTTGACAGTCTTATTATCATCTGTAATAGACAACTTTTTCCATCCCTAAACTACCTCGTGGAATTATAACAATAGTAGTAGTAGCAGTGTGAAGTCTGTGCCCGGGAAAAATAAACAGTAGCATTGAACATCAAACGAATGAAAAAGTAATTAAACAATGAGCATCACCTTTATTATCAACCGTTCTGATCAACGCTTTCTCTCTCTCTCTCTTGCCCCCCCCTCCCTCCTCATCTTCTGATACACCTGTAACCAACCAATACAGTAGAAGGCAATAAAATTACAAAACTACTTTACACAAGTCGGTCAGGTGGATTCGGTTAACAAATTCATGATGAAAAGTCAATAGGATGGTAGGAAGAGACAACACGGTGATCTGTGCATGCACTCGCTACTCAGTGTAAACGATACATCAGCCGTATCAAGTTTCAATACAGACGAGATGCACCATGTACCAATGAACGCAAACCGCATACATTCATAAACTTAACGATTATCTTCTTACCTCTGGAAGATACACATGTGATTAGTACGCATAGATCATAGAAGATATGCAAAACAAATAACCGAATGAATATTTGCTAATAACTTCACCCTCCTGTACCACCTTCTAAATCGGAATAGACGTACTCGTTTACGAATGGTAACAATACGTGTGCCTCTTCCGGTTATTACATGTTCCTCCGGAGGCGCTTGAGCGATCGGCTGCTTTGCTGGCATATCTGTAGCTCGTGGTGGTGGGGCCGGGGGAGGAGTTGGGGATCGGGAAGAAATCGGTCGAGGCAGGGGACTATGTGATCGGACAGAAGCTTCGTGAGTGTTATCCTCTGGTTTCGGGGATTCTGAGGGCTCAAGAGATTTAGCAGAAGTGGATGAATCCATCGGAGCTGATGGCTCTGTTTCGGCCAACAAGGGTGGGGGCTCCGGTTTGCTGATTCCATTCACATTAGCTACCACCACAGCAGCGGCAGAGGTAGCAGCAGTGTCTTCCGGTGGTTTTTCGTCTTCCATGTTGCATTTGGATGGAATGTCTCCGGGTGAAGGGGGAGTGGGAACTTTTGGGCTATCCTTAATCGGCTCGTCCGGTTTAACTTTGGGTTCGGCAATGATGGGTTCCACATTTGAGTCACTTGAAGTACTCGAGGTTAATGCAACTTCACCTGTGGGTTAGATGATAAACAAGTTCGAAGATTAGGTAATTGATACAATCATGGTCCTCATTGCGCAATCGGTAAAAAGAATACCAGCCCATTGGAAAATATGGACTCAATGGGAACAGAAAGCCGTGTCATGATCACGTATTGAATCAACCTACTGCAATGAGTCTAATACCAAAAATCTAGATCACAACCGGTTAAGATCGTCGCCAAATCGAGTATTCACGAAGTTTTGAGAAGTTTTGGATACATCTGATAGGAACACCTTTACTTAACAGTGAAGCCAGTAAATCAAAATAAAGTCAAATCACGTGAATCAAGTTATTTTAATATGGCTTATGGTTGCCTTACGAGTAATCAGTGATCTGAATTCAACCAGGATCCACCAACCCAGTCGTACATCTACGTTCAGTATTATTCGAATTGGATTGCAAGCTACTCTCGTAGCATTCACACAACGAAGTGACCTGCGTAAGGCGTTCTTGGTCAA